AGTAATTAGACTGTATATATTATTGGGGTTGTTACAAAGATTAAATAATGACTGTAAAGTGCTCAGTATTTTGCTAACAGATACTTAAAAGACGTCTATTACTTTATTGTTATATAATGTTATATGATAAGTAGTCCTTTGATTGGTGTTATAGTAGGCTGAATAATTACCCCACAGACATGCCCACGTCCTAATCCCTAGACCCGTGAATATATTACCTTCAATGGCAAAGGGGACTCTGCTGATGTGATTAAGATAAGGATCTTGAAATACAAAGATTATCCTGAGGTATCTGGCTGGGTCTGATGTAATCAAGCTTCCTTCACATAAGAGAACCCCTCCTGAATGTAGTCAAAGGAGACAGAACTATGGATGATGGCCAGAAGGTGCAATGTTACTGGCTTTAAAGACAGAGGAGGATCAGGAGCCAAGGAATGTAGGTCATCTCTAGAAACTACAAAAGGCAAAGAATGGATTCTCCCTTGTAGCCTACAGAAAGGGACAGCCCTGCCAACGTCATGATTTTCAGCTTAGAAGACCCATGACAAACTTCTAACTAACAAAATTGCAAGATAATAAATTTGCAATCTGTTAAACCACCACATTTGTGGTGCTTTGTTATAGCAGCAGTAGAAAAGTAAATATATTATGTTATATATAATTATAATAGCTTCATTAACACTATCACTAATCAGCACTGAGTATTTACAAAATACGTACATTGTATGAAGTCCACAAAGATGTGTGTGACATTGTCTCTACTCTTAGGTAGTTCATACAGTTTAATTAATAATACTATAGTATTTTTAGTCTTCTGAGTTATTCTTATGTGATGGCATTTCTTAAAAATAAACAAACTTTTGGGGTCAGCAGGTAGCGCCATGGTTAGGGGCACTGGACTTCCACACGGCCCACCATGGTTCGAATCCTAGACCTGGTAGCTTGCTTTCTCACTGTCTCTCTCTCTTGCTATCTCTCTCTCTCTCTCTCGCTCTGTGTCCCTCTCTGATCAAATTAAGATAAGTGAATAAATAAAGTAAAAATAAATAAATAAATGTTTAAGAATATAAATCTGTTACTATCTAAGAGTTGGGGTTAATGTTTGTTTAAAGCAAGCTTAGGGAATTCAAGACTTAAAGATAGCACTGTAAGAGACCAAAATTAAAAGAACCTTAATTCCTGACCACAGTATTTATAAAATATGACTCATTTCTGCCCAGCAAAGGAAATTTTGACATGTTGTCTACAGTGTGTTGAGATGGATTTTTTTTTCTTTTCTGTTTCAGAAATCACTTCATTAACTTAGTCACAAATTAGGGTGTAAGACGGTTGCCAATAAAAAGTCTAATATATGTAAGATTCCATTCAAAATAGAAAAAAGCACCTAGGAAAGAAGGGGGGTTAATATAATCGGCTTTCTCCCAGATATTACTGTAAATCTGAAATGAATTTCTTTTTTTTTTTTTTTTTTGGAGAGGTTTTAGCCTTAGGGTGTGTGTACTCACAGAAGAGAGAGACAGAGGCAGTGAGAAGGAAAGTGAGAAATCTCACCCCCACCCCTGGGGGTGGACGGGGATAGCCACACCACAATCCCTTTTCTTCCAGTCTCTTCCTGAGATCTTGGGCACATATACACACAAGAGCCTGGTGTGAGTTTTAAGCCACCATGCCTTGAACCACAGTTGGCTATGTGGGAGTCCAGCGGCATAACCACTACACCATCTGCTACCCCTGAAATAAGGCTTTTAAAATATTTCCTAGTGTGGTTCACATATTAAGAAAACATCTACTGCACTATCCTGAAATCAATGTGGATTGCAAATTATAAAGCTATGAAAAATCTTATGGAGGAAGAAAAGTAAAAGGTAGATACTCTCTAAAGTCTTCTGTTCATACACCAATTGACAATGAGCGGGAAGAAGTAGGAACCAAAGCTGTTGAATGTCTTTCTCAGGATACAGTCGCCACCCGTCTCTCTGTAACTCAGTAAATGCCTACGCCAGTATGTGGTTAGCAGGTGGGTTTGACAGTGAGAAGAACTAAAATGGTGTGTCCTGCCTCCTCCTCCCTTGGTTTGAGGATTTTTAATCATGCCAGACAGATTCCAACAGGAAAGGAAAACATACAGGCAAAGGCATGGAACACAAATCATGCCGCTTTCCAGTTCCCTCGCCAGACTCTTGCACTTTTTCCAAGTGAATAGTGAGAACAGACAGGTTTTATTCTTCATACATGCATGCAAAAAACTGTGCCTTCCATTTTTCCTCTCTCTTCCACCTATGCTTTTCTTTTCCAGGGGACAATATTGAGCTTAAATATCTATAATTACTTTCCTTTCATTGAAATTAGGCTTTTCTTGGCTCTCTTTTCCTTTTCTTCTTTGTTGTCTTTAGACACCTGAGTCTTGGTGAGTTACTGTCTCTGAGAATTTCAGCTAGTGCTTTTAGTGATTGACTGCAAATGATCAAAGCAACAAACTAAATAATTAAATAAACCTGAGCCTCAAATGAAGCTTACAGTTCATTTTTAAAAGGCCATTTTATTAATTTGCATATATAGCTCTGAAAATCACAAAAATGAATAATTATCAACTAGTACTAATAATTTATTTCACACCACTTCCTTCTTTAGAGTTCTTAGTAGAGTGGCATGAAATAAAACAGCCCGTGTTTTTACCTTCTTCTTTTCTATTTCATGTACGTATAAAGACAACCCTAAAGTTTTTATTGTTAAAGCTATATTGTGGTCAGTAATATAAAAACACAACATGTAACAGGTTTAAAACGACTCTTTTCCAGTCTATTCCATGTAATAATTTTTAAAACCTAAAAACATGAAGAAATGAGAATGTGAGGGAAATGCTCATAAAGGACGGTATGTCTGAGAAATTGTATTCCTTTAGCACTTGTCAGAATAAACGTATTTTTGTCCAGAAACCTCTGTATCTTTTTGAAGTTTTGGAAGAAAATGGCACTCTTACCTTATAGTAAAATGTTTGGTAAGTTGGTAGTAATCATCTTACTCTCAGTAAGAAATGCTGTTGAGTTGTATTTTGAAAAATAATCTGCCTTCTGCTCCACTGAGGAACAGCTATAGTCATTAGAATATTTTTCTTTTTGTACAGTTAAGTCTGCATGCGATAATTTTTGTCATTTATTTACCTGTTTTTTGAGACACAACAAATCAATCTAGTAATTATAATAATCAACTGCCTTAATGATACAATTCAGAGCCTTATAGTCTATGGCAATCTAGTCACTTGTCCCAGAAAAAAAAAAAAAAAACACAAAGTCACACAAATTAAGATGTTCAGATCTCTGTGTTCACTTTAAGAGCATTCATGAAATTGCCCAGGACATTGAGAGAGTGTGAATATCCAAAAAGTCACCAAGTGTTTGAAAGATGCAGTTTATTATAGAAGCAATGTGTGCCACCCCGCATTTGCAATGGTGGAGTTGGTAGGTGTGCCCAAGCCAAACAGTAGGGCTTGGACAGAGGGTCTATGGCTCAAAATAAATGCTGAAATTTTGCTGCACATGCTTAAAAATGCACAGAACAGTACTGAGTTTAAAGATCTATATGTAGAGTCTTTGTCACTTAACATGTACAGGAGACCAAAGCACCCAAGATGCGCTGACTATACTTAAGAACTCATGGTAGGGACCAGCAGGTGACATGGTGGTTAAGGCATGGGATTCCCACATGGCTGACCCTGGTTTGAGTCCCGGACCTGGCAGCATGCTTTCTCACTTTCCTTCTCTCCCCCTACCTCTCTCTATTCTGTGCCATACAATAGATTAAGGTTAATACAAAATAACAGCAGTAATAAAGTTAAATAATTGTTAAAAAAAAAAAAAAAAGAAAGAAAGAAAAGAAAAAAGAAGCGCTCATGGTAGAATTAACCCATACAGGAATTCCTCCTGCCACTTTCAAATGATCCTTACTGAAAGAGAATGAATTGCTCCCAAATAAGAAGAGGAGGTTTCGTAGAAGAAAAAGATATCCCAGAATAAACCAAAGAAACAAAAACAAATGGCCCAGGAATTAATTCAAAATAAAATACATGCAAATTACAAAAAAAAAAAAAAAAGAGTAGAAAAATAAAAAAAGAATTCAAAATCTTAAAGACCAGTTAAAAAGAGCAAGGATCAGAAATAAAAAGTTCTTCAAGCTTGCTATTAACCAAACAAATCCAAATTAGAATCATAGCAAGGAGAACCAGCAGGTGGCACAGTAGTTAAGGCACTAGTAGTAGTTCAAGTCCCAGACCTGGAAGTTTGAGACTCACTCAGGGTGTTTGTGTATGCATGCTGAGAATACAAAGAAGAGATTGGAAGAGAAGGAATAGCGGTATGCCCATTCCCATGGTGGGAGGTGGTGCTGATTTTTTGTTTTCTCTCTCTTTGTTTCTGTCTTGTGCACATGCCCTATAGCAAAAATCTCTCTTTAAAAAAAAAATTAAGGAAAAGGAACTGTTTAAATAGTTGATGTTTAACACCTATTAAAATGTGGGGGTGGTGAGAGAAACTCAAGAATGCATGAAACAGGGCAAATAGGTTATGGAACTGGATACCACAACAGAGTAGGAAAAAAGGGATGTTGTCACATATATAGAGATAGGTATGTATATGTCCAAAAATACATCTGTATCTATGTGTATACCCAAGTGAAATATGATTTATTACAAAGTGGCGAACTGGGGTTGTGAAGAGTTTTTTGTACAGTTTTCTGTCTTCATTATTATATTATTTGTTATCTTTAAACAATGAAAACAAAGGAGAGTAGAGGAAAAATACCTTTTCTGGACAAAGCAATTGTGATAGACAATCAGTACATCCAAAGCTTCTACCAGAACAAATTCTTATGTGCATTTTAAGAAATATTTCTAGAAAAAGAGTTCATATAAAAATGGTTCTCCCAACCATTTGAAGTGATTTTTAATTTATGACATGCGGACTTTAAGGGGCCAGCTAGTGTATCTGCAATCCCTCTTTTGTTAGGCTACACGGTGAACTCTGCCACTGTTTCTGGAGACGTGCTTTACATTGCTGGACAGCCGCGATACAATCACACAGGCCAGGTCATCGTCTATAGGATGGAAGACGGGGACATCCAGATTCTCCAGGCACTCAGTGGAGAACAGGTAAACTCAAAAAACATCGCTTTAAATGAATCCGTTCATACTTTAATGTAAGTCAACTGTCTATCTTAAACTTTTTTTAAAAAAGTAATACCCACATATTCAGTATTAGCTGTGAATGGGCCTCATGTTAGGTTCTTTGGAGCAATATGAAGTGTGTGCATCTTTGACTTCATGAATGTTTGAGTGGGATGAGGTGAAGGTAAGATGTGGATAATAGATGAAGACAGATGTCCAAATATATACAACATATGCAATACAATAGAACATTAGAAGCATGAAAGTATCAGGGGCACAGATAGTACATTCCGAAGATGGAAAGATTGTTTAAGGCTGGAATTAGTGCAGAAATAGTCTTAGTAAGAGACGAAATTTGGACTGAGTCTAGATAAAAAGATAGAATGTAGAAAGAGTAGTGACAGAGTTAAAAGACAATGTGGATCCAAATGTGGAAAGTTTTGCATGGTAAACAAGAACTTGGAATGTATCCTGGAGGTAATACTAAGTTGTTTATAACATGTAAACTCAGAAAATTCTCACTAGGTAATATGGAATATGAAAATTAGTTTAGGAAATTTTGCATGCAATATGTAAACAATATATACAAATATTTTAAAAACTGACATAAATATTATGCTTTTTTTTCATTTTTTTTAAATTGTAAAAACTTGGATAACTTTCTTTTTCATAGCTTTCTTTATTTCATGAATATTCTACAATGAGAATTTATTAACTTTCGTAGTCTTCACGGTGGGGAGTGGGGGGCTTCTTAGTCTTCACTAAGACTTGGCCAACCGCTAGCCGAGAAGGGCAGAACTGCATCAGACTCACCCTCTGGGAGGCTTTGCTGTGGCCCAATACAACAATCTAGCCCAAGTGCAGGGAGATCAACATCAGGCAGGACCAGAAACTGCTCTGACTTTGAAGTCCAACAAACTCCAAGAGTCAGAATCTTTATGACAGCGTCATGCATAGACATAGCTTCCAGGATCTCTGCATGGGACGTGTCAGTTGCAAGTCACTGTGACCTTCAAAAGCCTGTAGAAAAGTGCATTCATAAGTCCAAACCTACCATTATCAGGCTGTCTAACAGTGTCTTATAATGTCTACCTAAAGCTTTAAGAATGAAATTTGCAATACATGGTAGTGAAAATGTTTGGGAAAGATTCGTAAGCTAAGCTAAGAGAAGGGAAAGAAAACTGCAGGTGTGAACTCTAGAGCAGGCCAAAATGTAGGGGATAGTATGAGGAAAGGAGCCAGCATACATGGGAAAAAAATGGCTTCTCTGTGATGCAGGGGCAGATTCAGGAGAACAAGAGTAAATCATAGTAGCCAGTGCAAGAAGTTTCAATAAGAGAATTATTAGGAACATCAAATATTAAATACAGATCAGTAGTTGAAAAAGTTAAACATTTACATAATGGCATGTAAGTTTCCTGCTTTTCCCTAACACAGATCCCTAGCTCAAAGAGCTACACAAGGGACCTTGTAGAAAAATGGAATTAAAATATAAGTTTATTTTGTTGCAAAAATATTGAAATTGATGAATAGTTTTCTCATAATACGCATCTTCCAGGAACTTTTGGAAGACCCCTCATATATTACTACAGGGAATGGTCCCCTTGCAGTCATTTTATATTTTTCATTTGTCTTCCAGAGCTGCTGGAATAAGACTTAATCATTTTGTTTTGTAAACAATCTTCTAAGACTATAAGGTAAAATATACCACACCAGAATCCTAGGACCATTCAGCTCTTTTTCATGAATTTATCTCATATTTTGATATTACTATACTTAAGACATATGAAATCATCCCAAAATGACTTCTATTCTTCATCTCATTTTATTTCCCTGAAAAAAAAAATATTGCTATAGTATTACTCATCTGTTTGTAGAGGAGAAAGAGGTGAGGAGGGAATCTGAAGGAAATCACTTCTGTTACTCTCAAACTGTGAATTCTGTAACAGCTGCCCATCCTGGTGGATGGAAGAAACTATTCTTTGGAGTCATGCAAGAGCCATGAAGGAACTCTCAGGTAGCTTCTGCTTCTATAGTTAATTTCCTTTGCCAGAGGCATCTCAAATACTCTTCCAGATTGGCAGACATTAAGAGAAATGCAGATCCTAGATTCCTTGAGAATTTCCGGTGTTCATTAGCTTTTTTGTTTTGTTTTGTTCCCTAGATTGGCTCCTATTTTGGCAGTGTTTTAACAACGGTTGACATTGATAAAGATTCCAATACTGACATTCTTCTAGTCGGGGCTCCCATGTACATGGGAACAGAGAAGGAAGAGCAGGGGAAAGTGTATGTGTACACGCTGAATCAGGTAATGGCATCCGAGTGTGGTGGAGACCCAGGGAAATCTCTTCCCCTTTTTTTCAACTTTGAATAATTGTGGCTAACTTATTGAAATGCTTGAATAAATTCTTATTTTTCACTCACTTTGGAAAAATGAGCAAAGAATCTTTCTGGACCTATCTATCCCACCAACCTCTTAGTTTTGAAATGAACATTTAAAATCCTAATAGCTTGGGACCAGCAGCTGGTGTAATGGTTATGTTGCGGGACTCCCACGTAGTTGACTGCAATTTGAGTCCCAGACCCGGTAGCTTGAAACCCAAAATCCCGAAAGGAGGATGGAGGAGAAGCGATTGTGGCATGATGGTATCCCTGGAGAGTGATTTCTCGCTTTCTGTCTCTGTTTCTCTGTCTCTCTGGCGAGCACACGCACCCTATGGCAACAATCTCTCCAAACAAACAAAAAAAAATCCTAATAGCTCTTGAATATTTTTCAATTTTTAGATATTTTCTGCTTGGTAGTGTGAGTTCTTTTTTAACAGTATGTGAGATAAAGCATGTGAGTATAAGTCTTTCTAAAGTAAATAAACCTACAAAGTAACCATTCCCGAGCTTTGGCCTGGAAGTGACTAACATTAGCAGTTACATTGAGTAGGATGGTAGAAGGAAGAAGTGAGTTTCAAGGCAAAAACACCAGATACTTCCAGGAAACCACTCTGTCTTTGGAATACTTCACTGGGCAGGAGTGAGAGTCTGTTTTCCATTCCTGACTTTAGGTATCATTTGTTGGATGGAATTTTGAATTTTTTAATTTGAAGAATTTTCCAGCAGACAGTGTTTATATATTTATTTTTTTCCTTAATTCTTAGATTCACTCCTATATGAATTATTTTTTAAAATGCCAATGAATTTTCTTTCTGTCGTCTTTTTGTAATAGCCAGAAAGGAGTACTTGCCAGAGGGAATGGGTAAAGGCACCCTCCAGTGGAACATGATTATGCCATAATTCCTCCTCCTTCCATTTTCCATCCTTTCAGGATTTGGGGCACACATGCTTATGTGCCCAGCATGTTTTTTGAACCACCTGGGCCAGAATTTGAACCGCAGTAGGCCACATGGGATTCACCTCTCTTAACTACTACGCCATGGGGTCAGTCTCCATATTAACTAAGTCATAAAATGTATGTCTTTCTTTGGCATCCTCTGTCAACTTTTTGGTACTATGCTGCTTTTCCCTTTGACTTTTTTTTTTTCCAAAAAAGGATATTCTTTTCTACCTTTGAAAGGTTCTGTCTCGAGTTCCTGTCTACCCCCACCCTTAAGAACCTTAGAGAAAGTTTGCTTTTTGAACCATCAGTTTCTTTTTTCTTTGTCCTGCAAGAGTGAATATATAAGAGATTTCTCAAATGCACAATATTTGGTGAAGAACAGCTAGTGGCACAAATTAAGGCTTTAAACATTCGGTTCTTTGGCTTTAAAAAGATGTTATGAACTACATGCTCACTCAGTTGCATTATAAATAGACCCCATTACAATCCTCAGTATAAATTCTTTATGATGCTTCCATAGTCTGTCCTTGGAAATCCCTAACTTTACTCTGATCTAGGGACAATTTTCAAAAAATTTTGCATACTTTAGCATTTATATAAACCTTTTGTTAATTGCCAGAGTGTGCATGTATGTGGTTGTAGAGAGAGAAGGGAGGCACAGAGGGAGGAAGGATGCATGTCCCAGTGGGGTGTGGTCATGCCACCATCCCTTCTCCATTTTTCCATCTTACTGGGATTTGGGGCATGCACACACCTGTGCATGGCATGTTTTTCGAACTGTCAGAATTAGGATTCGAACTACTGTTGGCCATATAGGATCTGGTTCTCTTAACCACCGGGCTATAGGACTGGCCCACAAGTGGTTTTAAATAGCACTGACTTCGTATGTGCTTGAAAAAGCCTGCTCTTCTGTAGTAATGCTAGAGATCCGTAAGAATCCTGCTCATGTTTTTTCCAGACACGGTTTCAGTATCAAATGAGCCTGGAGCCTATCAAGCAGACTTGCTGCTCATCTCTGAAGCACAATTCATGCACAAAAGAGAACAAAAATGAGCCGTGTGGGGCTCGCTTTGGAACAGCCATCGCTGCTGTGAAGGACCTCAATCTCGATGGGTTTAATGACGTTGTGATAGGAGCGCCACTGGAGGACGATCACGGAGGAGCCGTGTATATTTATCATGGAAGTGGCAAGACGCTAAGGAAGGACTATGCACAAGTAAGGAGTTAAACTTACAGATTCTTGCCCTTCAGGGATAGGTGGGTTCCATGCCATGCGTTTCCTGTCTGGGACTTCCTTGCCTGCCTCACTCTATTGGGAAACTGGACTGAATTCTCTTCCCAGGGTTCTTCATAGAAGAATTGCTTTGTGTTTTCTACTTTCATCTACTTTCTTTCTGTTGTTTTCCATGTCTCTAGGAACTGATCTTTTGAAATGGTAAAAAAGTAAAACCATGCACACAAAAGAATACTTTGTAGCAGTGCTATTTAACATCTGCAGGATGTCCCAAACTAATCAGAAGATACCCCTTTCTAAAGAAGGCAGCAATAATTACATTATGTAGCCAATAAAGGAGTTGGGATTTTTGTTTTTATATTCAATGTCCATGTTGTTATAATAAAATTGCCTTGAATTTATCAATTAAATTGGTATATTTTCACCAAATGAATTGGGCTTTCTAAAGGTTTATAATTTTCTCACAAGCAATACTTCTTGGAAAAGAATTTTGAATAATTTAGCATAACCTACAGGGCATTATTGTTATTTCTGTTTTAAATTTATCGTCAGTTTACAGCTCTAATCCATAAATGTAATTTTTTCTACATGACAAAAGCCATCAATTTACAGAAGTGCTTAGTACACTACAAATATAGGCAAGTTTAAAGGAATTCTAATGGAATTACTGTTTTTAAGTGGTTATAGTTGGTTAAGCATTAACACTTACTTATAAATAAAATAGAATTTGCTATTTTCTAGCTTATATAACATGAAATCAGAACATGAATTATTTCTTTTAAGTTTGAGTGTTCTTTTTGGTTCAACAAAATTCTCAAAATTCATTAATGTATTGCAAAGTTGTGCTTAGATTCCATAAAGTCATGGCATCAATAGTGAACAGCATTAAAGGCTTCTTTTAGTTACAATTCTTTTCTTTGTCCAATAAATGATTTGTTTGTTAGTAATCTTCGTGGTATTTTTTTAGTTAACTAGAAACAGGCACTATTACCACTGGGGCGTGATGAAATCAGCAAATGTAATAAGAGGTTTCTTGTGTTCTGCCCTTTATTTCTTCAGTATTAATCATTCAGATTTAATGAAGTAGCATTTGAAGTAGAAAAATAAGAATTTTTAATCATTAGCAAATTGAATAGATTTCATATACAATTTATTTTAGAAAGTGGCAGTAAATCAAGATGCAGCTTTAAACAACAACAAAAGAAAATATTAGGGTTGGATTTGTTTAATTGTTGGCAAAATGCTTTCTCAAGGAATAGATGAGGATACACTTACTCGTTTCCATGGGAACCAGAGGTGCCCCTGTGCATAGAACGATTCAGAATCAGACTGAATTGACCCCTTCAGAATCAAGGAGGCAGATATCTCCTGCTTTGTTTGCTGAAAAAATAAGGAAATACTTCCCAGTGAAACACATGTTTACGCATGAAAAATGCTTCCGTTTGGCTTGGCTTTCTTGGCTGTTAATTTATGTTATTTAAGTGGAAATCAGGAAGATGAAAAAATCCCAAGAGTAGGGAGGATTCATCAGTTTATTCTCATTGCCATTAGATTCTATTAAAATATTAATATAGTACCAGCTTGAACCAAAGCTAAGTCAAGAAGTAAAGTTATCAAACATATTATGAATGGTAATGTACACAGATCAGTCTTCAAGAACTCTGTATCCATTAGTGTCTCCCCAAATGTGGATACGTTGAGAGAACTGAGCCCAGTGCATCCTCCCTTTAAGGACAACGTTTTTCTTCTTTTTTTTTAGAGAGAGTTTTGCTATAGGACATGTACACTCGCCAGAGAGACAGAGAGAGACAGGCAGAAAGTGAGAAATCACCCCTCAGAGGGGATGGCCATGCTGCAATCCCTTCCCCTCCATTCTCCTCTCAGGATCTTGGGCACACGCACATGCCCAGAATGAATTTTAAGCCACCAGGTTTGGGACTTGAAGCATGGTCAGCTACATGGGAGTTCAGCAATGTAACCATTATGCCATCTGCTGGTCCCCAGGACAACTTTTGACAGACAGTAAAGAAGATTGCACATTGGAAAATGTATTTGATGACATGTGTTGTTTATACCAAACTAGAAAGCTCAATGAACCCCATGTTGACCCCTAGGTCAGTCTTCCTCTCCCCAGCTGGCTTGTATGGTATGTGTTCAAGGTTTCTAGTACCTCTCAAGACCTCACGTAATGGAACTGAACAGGAACTAGAAAGCAGAGCCAGTTGCTCATAATGTTTCTCTTGAGGATTAGACAGGATGACGTTAGATAATCCCGTCCTCCTCCCAGTGTCATAATCCTGAAATGATTTTGTCTGTACTATAAAAAGAACAATATCCTTTGGGAACATCTGAGTGTTGTCTCTTGCCGCCACACGAGGGTCTTCTTGAGCAGGCTCCTAAAAGATCTTTCATTCTAATTTTTTGTTAACCAATGTAAGCTCTCAGATGTGTTTGAAACTGTTTTGAAAAGACTCTTCTGACAAAGCTCCCTGTTGGGATTTTCACAGCGTATTCCATCAGGTGGGGACGGTGAGACACTGAAGTTTTTTGGCCAATCTATTCATGGAGAAATGGATTTAAATGGAGATGGTCTGACTGATGTGACTATCGGGGGCCTTGGTGGTGCTGCCCTCTTCTGGTATGTAGTGTAATAACAGCCAATTAATCAGAGCTAATATTTCACAGCTGGTTCCAAGAGCTCAGTGTGTGATTGGGGCTCATAGCATACCAAATATCTATTTCCTTTTATGCCTTATTAAAATACAAGCTTTTAAGTCAACAAAAAGAGTCAATAAATCTTGAGAACACAGAAACATGTTAAAGGAATAAATAGAACAAACTCACAATTTAGGTATCAATTATGTGTTTAACAATAGAATAGATATTCTTTGAAAGAAAGATAGGGAAACAGAGGAAGATAGCAACCCCTCAATGGAGCATGGTCATGCTGCAATCTCTTCTCCTCCTTTTCTCATCCTGCTGGGATTTGGGCACTGACTCACACATGCCCAACATGTTTTTTAGGTCACCAAGGCCAGGACTTGAACTGCAGCCAGCCATGTGGGATCTGGCTCCCTTAACCACTAAGGCATGGGTCCTGCCCCAAAACAAGCCCTAACTTTTTTTTTTTGGGGGGGAGGTTTTTGCCACAGGGCACATGCACTCGCCAGACAGACAGAGACAGAGAGTCAGAAAGCGAGAAATCACCCCCCAGGGGGGATGGCCACACCGCAATCCCTTCTCCTCTGTTCTCCTCTTGGGATCTTGGACACGCATGCACACGTGCCCAGCATGAATTTTAAGCCACCGGGTCCAGGGCTCGAACCGCAGTCGACTACATGGGAGCCCAGAGACATAGCCATTATGCTAACTGCTGGTCCCAAGCCCTAACTTTTGATTTGCTTACTAATATATAGGAATTGACTCTTCATACACTTACCTAAAACATAGAAATTGTGTAATACTGTTTGTGTTAAAATTATTGATCAAGCATAAATGCATGTCCTTTTAATTTGGCCTTTAAAATGCCTGTATCCTCAAATTGACCACTCTTTTCAGTTATCTGTAAAAGTCAAGTCACTAGTCAGATATGTACATTAAGAAAGGTTTAATTATTGAGACCAGCAGTTGGTGTGATGGCTATGTCACTGGACTCCCATGTAGTTGACCATGGTTCAAGTCCTGGATCCAGTGGCTTAAACTCACCCCGGGCATGGGTGCATGTGTGCCCAAGATCCTGAGAGGAGAATAGAGGAGGAGAGGGGATTGTGGTGTGGCCATTTACCCTGGGGGGTGATTTCTCACCTTCTGTCTCTCTGTCTCTCTCTGTCCTTCTGGAGAGCACACACACTCTGTAGCAAAAACCTCTCCCATCCCCCCCAAAGGTTTATTTATTAATTAATTTATTAAGAAAATATTTTTAACTTAATAACATTAATAATAACTTTAACCTGCTAAGAAATACAATTTTAAGAAGGATTCCATTTTTAAAATTACTAAAATATTCAAGAATTAATTTATTGAGAAATTGGGAGGATAATTTGGAAAATATTACAAACTTCAGTAAAAATATAATAGAAGGATTTGATACATAAATTGTATATTTATACATGTACTTAATGGAAAATGCACATGATGATTCTTTCAAATTAATGTATTGATTTAATGTAAATCAGATGGAAACAAACCTCAGGGATCTGTTCCCCAGCATTCATCTAGAACAGATAAAATATGACAGAGAGTTGAAGCCAGAGGTGAAAACAGATGACTTCATGATAATTTAAGGAGGTCATTGTACAGTAGGGCCAGTCCCATAGCCTCATTGTTAAGGGAGCCAGAGCCCACATGGTTAAACACAGTTCAAATCCCAGCCCCAGTGACTTGAAAATCACACCAGGCACATGTATGTGCATGCTCGAAATCTGGGCTGGATAGAGAGGTGAAGAAGGGGTTGCACCGTGGCTATTCCCCACTAGAGGGCGCTGCCTACCTCTCTTTCCGTCACTGTGTCCCTGGCGAGTGCATGCACCCTCTGTTGCACAGTTAAGTTACCATTCTGTTGACTGTAGAGTGGAAGGAAAATAAAGCTGAAATGTGATACCCAAGGAAGGGGAAGGTAGAGAAGCAGAGTAACTTTGATTTGGGGGAGAGCACATCCAAAACCAAGATTCAAAACCAGAAGTCAGCAGTGTTCTACTTTTGTTAGAACTGTTAATCCTGAATTAATGTATTATGATACTCTTGGTTCACACATCTTTATTGGATTCACCCTTTTATATATAAAAAAAAAGATGTGCTTTAAGGGCAATTTCTATTCTCCAATTAAATTTCAAGAGCATCTTATGAAGCTTTGTAAAGTAATTTTGGGCATCTACCACCCTGAAATTAAGGCTTTATTATTGATGGACCAGAATGACAATCAGGTCTTGATCAAAGCCCAGGCCCCACTGCAAGCAGAGCAGCCCAAACCAGGATATTGTGATGTGAAGATGAAGACTTCCATCTAAAGCAGGGACTGAAAGTGGATGCAGATGGCGGGCAGTAAGCAGAGGCAGTCAAAGACATCCCGGAGCAGATGACAAGGGCACTGTCAGGTAGACTGACAGCCATGGCACCTGGAAAGACCTGGTTAGAACAGAAAGCACGCAGAGGGTGGGGAGAGTCAACACAGCCTCAGGCCTGCAGAATTTATTAAAATATTATTACATGAAATTATACATACTCATTTTTTTTTTCTGAAGAGGTTTTTGCCATAGGGCGCGTCTGCTCACCAGAAAGACAGAGAGAGACAGAAAGCGAGAAATCACCCCCCAGGGAGGATGGCCACACCACAATCCCTTCTCCTCTATTCTTCTCTTGGGATCTTGGGCACGCACGCACATGTTCCCAGTGTGAATTTAAGCCACCGGGTCCGGGACTCGAACCGCGGCCAGCTACATGGGAGTCCAGCGACATTACACCAACTGCTGATCCCAAAATTATACATACTTACTCACTGCCAATGAAAGGGTAAACTATCTAAAACTCATTAGGAAGTATTTGTCCATATGTATTTAAATGCCTTAAAATAGTCATACTTTGTAATAAGAAATTTACCTCCTAAAAGATAAAAAGATAAGATCTAGAAACATAATTAAAGATACATGATCTTTGGAGTTATCACAAAGCTGTAGGTAATAACCATTTTTTTAAAAAAGAACTTTAACTCAGGCCAACTGGTGGTACAATGCTCAGCAGTGCTGGGCACACAGAAAATCCCGGGCCCTTCCTGTACAGCCAGGTGCACATGCATGCCTGGAATCCAGGCTGGCTGAGGCGAGGGGTGGATCGCAGCCTCTGTTGGGTGCTGTCTCTCTCTCTGTCTCCTTCTTTCTCTCTTGCTCTTGTTTATGGGAGGAATGAACTTTCTTTCTTATTATTAATTTTGCATTCAATTACTATATATTTGTAAACTCTCCCACAGAAATGGAGGGAGAAAACCAAAATATGTAGGGAACTAGAGCAGCCTACCCGCAAAAAAAAAATTCAATTCAGTGAAAAGATGGAAAAATGGACTGAGGACAACTCTCCGAGGAAGACATATGAACCACAAAGCATATGAAAATGTTCAACATCCTTGATCACAAGGGAAATGCAAATCAAAAGTACAATGAGATACCACCTAACCCCAGTCAGAATGTTGAAGATTAAAAAATCAAATCAAAAGTACAATGAGATACCACCTAACCTAGTCAGAACGGCTAAGATTTAAAAAATAAATAAATAAACTTAAAAAAAAATTAAGCAGGGTCAGCCTGTGTCTAGAAACTAGAGAGCTGGATCTCACATGGCCAAGTAGGTTGACTTAAAAAAGAAAACACCAAGCGCTTTTGCATTCATGTGAAAATTCAGAAAGAAGGGAGACAAGAAGAAGGGATTATGTCCTGATCGTTCCCCAAGGGGGTTCCTTTCTCCTCTCCTCTCTGTATCTCTCTGGTGAGTGCGCACACCCTCCGAATTTTTTTTCTTTACAATTTAAGCTAAATATACAATAAGGGAAGACTGAATACAGAGATTCTGGAATGTGAATATGCTGGTATAGTATAGGGCCATTAAAAACAGTGTTCCCAAAAATATATAAGTGCTAACAAGCTATTCATTATATAGTGGTATTTTTTAAAAAATGTATGCATGTGTATGTGCAATATATGTGCCCATGTATTGTATATATGTAAATATAAATGTGTGTGTGTGTGTGTGTGTGTGTGTGTGTGTGTGTGTATATATATATATAT